AGTTGTTAATATTTAAAACATAATTTTGACAAACTGTTTGTAATCAGAGATATTTTATTTTTTGTTTTTGTTTTACTTTTTAATGTTTACTGAGCCTAACATAATATTATTAAAACTATTGTACACAATGTGAACGATTTGGCTCTAAAAAAAACAATTAAAATTTTTAGCGTTATTACTGAGCTATATATTTTTTTTGTTAAAAAATGAGGAAAAAAATTATACAAAGGAACATTTGTGGAATTTAGTAGTACTAAATATTCACAATTAAATATGTCATAGTCTTATTTTTCGTCATTAAAATATTTTTATTTAGTAATAAGGTAATGAATAATTTACAATGGTAAAATATTTTGCTACTGATTATAACGTAAGTTAGAAATAAATATTTATATTCTCTTCAAAAAATACAATAGTTAACTCATAAAAATAAAAATAAATTAATGGTCAATTTTAAAAATTAGAAGAGTTATATTTTTAAATTTTCAGAGATATTAATTTAAGAGATATTGTATATTTGTATAATACATAGTACTAATTAGACAAAAAAAATCATGTTTCAGTGTATCATATTTATGTGAAGGAAATAAACCATAAATACAGTCTATTAATACTTATTTCATAAATAATTAGTATACTTTGATTTCGAGGGATGTAAAATTTATTGATATCACTAATTTTAAGCTAAAATATACTTTCACCTGAAATGGTGGCTTTACTACTTTGTATTCATATATAAAAAAAAATCCCCTTAAAATATTTACTCTAAAGTTAAAACGCAAATAACCAGCAATGAATATACATGTATTTTTTAGGCGCATCACATCAGTAGACTTAATACACATAAGTGTCAGAGAAAACTTATGTAAACCTTTAACTCAGCAATGAATAATAATGTCATGCGATTTTTCCAAATCAAAACAAATACAAAAAGAACATTAAGTGATTTGTTGAAAGCTTTTATAAAGCAGTAAACAGTATTATTATGAGTTGTTTTCTAATTTATTAATTCTAGTGTAACCATAATAAACAAAAATAAGCAGTATGATAAATTAATTTAATGTAAAGGTCATACTAATTATATAAACCGTTGACTATTATAAATTTGAAAAATTCTAAATTAATATTGTTATTATTATCGTTTCAAGTTCGTTTAGACATCCTATTGATTATTTGTGCTCGCGCATAATTAATCGAACAAAAGAATAACTAATGTTATTTTCCTAAAATTTCTCATTTAAATATATAACAGGCTAATAACTTAATACAAGCAAAAATATTATGACGTTAGTAAATTAATCCTTGATTCACAAAACAACGTTTTATTGTGATACAAATAAGTCATTATAGCAAATATAGTAAAATCTGTTGTTTTAATTCAAACATTTTGTTAAAATAATTTTGGCTATATCTTATATGATATAGTTATTTTTATTTATTTATTCTTATTAGTTTGAATGTAAAACATGTAACTAATAAAGGAATAAACTATATGTTAACTACAATAAAATGTAAACTAATTATTTCCGTACGGCAAAAATTTTTATATGTGACTTTTTTACAACTGAATACATGCTCTTTAGTATACAAAATAGATAAATTAATATTTCAGTGTAATTAATAAATCTTACGAGTATCCGCTTATAATCCAGATAAAAAGTCACCATCAATACTAAAAGTATTTTAACAAAAAAGTATACGGTTGAAATTTAAATTGTTTCATTTATAAAATAATACTTAAAACAGATTTAATTTATTTAATAAGTCTTAAAATTATCTAATTACAAATTCTCAATTGTAAATTCTAATTATAAATAACTTTGTAAATAATTTTGTTTGTTAATTATTTTTCATTTACAGAAACATTAAAAAAAAAAGAAAAAAATATTGATAAATAATTTAATGAGAATTAATTATAAGTTATCTTAAGATTTTTTATAGTTTTGAATGAAAGTTAATATTTTTAATATCAGAAACTCATAAGAATCATCGATATGTAACATTTTTGTCCTGCTATCTTTATCAAATACTTTAAAACGAGGCGAACTGCAACAATTTTTTGAGATTTATTCAACTTTAACATAAAATTAAAATTAGATTTTTGATGTTAGGAAAATCTAATGATATCAACTAAATCAGCTGTAGATTGCATAAAAATTTTATGGAATCTACAGATGATTAAATCTACGATTTAATCGCAGTGATTATCTATCAAGTCATAACTGCTATCCTACAAACGCAAATAACTGCAGTTGCAAAGATATATTCAACATTTTTTATATTGATATCTTGTGTTTAGGACTTGATGATTGATTTCACTGTAATGTCAGTAGCGACTATCAATGCAATAAATCCGTACGTCGTGTTGAGTTGCCTAGCCGCAATCGCGCATCGCATTGAAATATATAACATGATAACGTTATGGCTGTGGAGGAGCCCCTGGCAATTTCTCGCTTCAATTTTTGGTACTAAATTTTTATATTAATTGCAAAATACCGACAACAATCTAAAATATTAACCGCGTCGACCCAATATCCGGAACCTCATAAATTCCTGTTACGAAATTTAAATCTTTCCAATTGAATAATTTACGTTAGGCAATCGACTGTTCAAGAAAATAGTTATTGTTTCTATGGTAATACTTATGTAAATATTTTTCCTTACATGTTTCATTTTTATTATTTCTAAAAAATAAATCAATTTATAATAATTCGTTTTGTTTTTTGATAATTAATGACGTTAAACTTTTGATTTAAATAAAAATTATATTTGCTCAATCTTTGAAAATATTAATTAGACAACTGTTGATAAGAACAATAATGGTAAAAAAAATGATTTTGTTTTCATTGCAATGTTTTTTTAACAACTAGAATCTATAGTCTAGTGACAAAAAAGTTGATTTGACAATTCATTAATTTTTAGGAGAGTAATAACAAATAAAACATTTCATTCGTCTCTTATGGGATTTGATATTTTTGAATTACATAAAACAAAACTTCCCAATAAAATTGACTTGTAATTTTTGACACACAATAGATAACATTCTTCTCTATACAAGTTATAAAAATCTCAAATATCAATTTTTGTGAGACATCAGTTTTTAAATATGAGCTATAGAGTTATTTTTTAACTCATTAAGAAATATAAAATTTTTAAGGAAATATTCTAAAAAGGCTTTAGTAATGTTATACTTTACATGTATTGATCGTGAAAATATTATTGATGGGTAAACAAATAAATTATACATTATTTTACAACAAATGAACATAAACTCAAATTCATATAGTTTTCTTAGCTATCAAAAACTTCATAAAATCATTTGAACAAGTTATTTTACTGATTGCGTTGTTTTGATTTCTGCTACAAATGTTCTAATTTGCATTGGTGTTAAAGCCACTTGTTTTGGATTAACAGATACTTGATCAGTATTCTCAATATTATGGCTATTAAGTGTGTCTTCGTCATCAGTCTTCCACGAAAGTCTACTATTTTCTGATAACCATTGATTAGCCCCTAGTGTCGTTTCATGTAATGATGTAATTCGGAAATTTGTAAATAAATCCTAATTAAAAAAAAAAAGCTGATATTTATTATGCATGCTCATAATATTTTAAATATCATAAAGATTATAATACTTAGGAAAAATGTTTAACGATAAAGAGTTTAAAATTTATTTTTAGCTAACACTATTTATAATTAACGCCTTCTCTTAAAAGCTAATTGAAAACTGAAAACTACTTTCTAATTGGGATGAAGAGGATAAAAATATCTTCTTGTTCTGTTATAATACATACACCATTTATTATTAAGTAGTCTATAAATCATTGTCTATTAATCATCGAATTAAATATATATTATTCATGTTAATCTATTAAGCTATTCAGAGAAATATATATAAAAATACATTGATACAAATCTAATGTAATAACTATAATGAATTCTTTAGTTAACAAATCATATATTTTAAGTAATATAATATCTTAAGACTAAATCAATCGATTAATAAATATATAATATTAAAGGTCATGTAACTTCTTACATATATAGATGTGTTAAATTTAATATAAAAGGGCACAAAAACTATTACTTCGGCTCACTACTCCTCACTTTATGATCTTTCAACAAGTGCAAGAAGTGGCCTTGCATACATTACAAATTAACAAATAGTCGAAGTATATTTATTTTTAATCTTGTTTCCAACATCACCAAAGTAAATTACTTAAAATGTTAAAAAATGTATGAGGTTTAAAGTTAAGTATAATGGTTGTATAAATTAAGAAGAGAATTAGAAAAATTAAGTGATTACTAGCATAAAATATTGTTTAAATAAATAAAATCGATAACGTTTGTAAGAAGTTAACCAGTCTAGTTCAATCTTTGAGTGGGTTACCTGTTTGGTCAATACAAATAAAGACTCTCTTGCAAAGATAGAGAATCCACTTGTGGTTACTATAATACTCAAAGTGTGAAATTAATCACAATAATTTTTATTTCAAACTATTATTATATTAATAAATTTTCAAACATCGCTTTGCTTTTCTATATTTTACATTTTCTCATAAAATCCTTGTATTCAAACCCCAAGAGAAAATTATGTTATATCGTTATATTCAATAAATACATAGTAACTCAACCATTCTCACGCTCATACAAAACAACCATTCATTTTACTAATTTATATTCCATTTTGAGTTACTATAGTTCAGCAGAATATAGTCAAAATTCATATGTCCTCACACACCTAGACATAATGCATTCCTGACTGAGCTATTTAGACTGGTTAAATCAGTGGTACTCATTTCGTTGTCCAGGGACCGTATGTAGCATTTAAACAAATTTTTTGTGACCTGTAATTGAGCTAAATTTACTAAAAGGTATATTAGAGGTATTGCACCCTTTATTAGTATGAGACTGTGAGTAATTTACTAAGTTTTATACTTGACCTCTTTTTTAATCCTTGTAGAGAACGTTGGTATAAATGTTTGAGTTTTGAGAGTTGAAAATGATATATTTTTAGATATGACGAATAATATGTTTAATAAATGCAATTTTATGTATAAAACAACGAGTGAATTAATTGATAATACTTAATTACATGATGTAATTAAATACACGAGTGTGTTTTCAGACTATATAATATATTATATTTTACGAACCTCTAGATTTAAAGTAACAGGTTTTGATAAGTTTTTGTCTTCGTTGTATTCAAATATATGTTCTAATCTGAGTAATATTGTATTCTCTTTCCAGGGTTCTAAAGTCAGCAATTGTACATTCTTTGGCAAGGAATTTCGCATACTGGAATACTATTCAGTTAACATAAATTAGTGAAACTCTTATTAAAAGGTTAACATAAATACTTCCAATGATCGTAAAAAAATAAAAACAAGTAAAACATTATTTATTGAAGGAAGATGAAATCAAATTATATAAATTTAGAAGTTTATATTTGGTTTATATTTTTTTTAAACTATTGATATTTATTCCTTACTCAAAAAGTTTTTATACACATATAAATAAATATATTCGAAAATATTTAGGAGAAACTTTGTGGGTTATTTTGTTGTATCGTACAAGAACGTACACAATTCCCATTATTGTAATTTTTAAAGCCTTTTTTTCTCCCCTACAGAATGGTAGAGGATTATTTTCTTCTTATTTTAACGGAAAGAAGTTAATACTGAATAAATGTTTTCAAATTCAAAATCTTATTCTAATAATTGAAATTCTTCAACGAAAATATATATATATATATATTATTAATTTGCAATCGGGGGTCACTAAAATGTTAAAAAAATTTTACACCATTATCTTATGTTTCTTAATTATAACCTATTTTCTTTAAGGATTAAAAAAAGAAGAAAAAATGATGCCTTTAATATAATTGGAGTTCAAATTTTCTCAATTTTTTTTAAATTTATTAATAATTATTTACTAGCAATATAATTTAAAAAATAACAACTATTTTTTATAATTGTTAACTTTTATTGGTTGTGATGATAGTCTAAAAAATTAGATTATATGATTATCAGAAATAACTAATAACTGTTATTTCTTATTGACTAAAATTTCACTAGTGTTTATCATACTTTGGATTATAATGAGTAATTTAATAAAAAATTAATTGATAAATATAAAAATCTGTACAACTCTTACCTCGTAACTAAATATAATTTTAAGGTTTTACCTGCATAGTTATTTCTTTAAGCAATTCATTCTGTTTAACAACAGAATCTTTTTTTGATAGAAAATATTGGGGTCTCAAGAGCTTTCTTTGGGCTAATAACCGTTGCACCGAAAATTGTTTATCAATTGTTCCGAATGTCAAGTAATGTTGACCCCTTACTACTAAGCCTGTACCATATGATGTTTCGTTCAATGCTTCACCGACACCAAATGCATCGTCAAGAAACATTCGTCTGTGTACCTATGTATAATGAATAAATTACTCACGACGCATGCTTTTCAGAATTATATTACAAATTCAAATATAAGAGTCATTAATATTTTTTATATGTACCATAAGTTCAATTTCCCCATCATCGAGACTTGAGCCTCCTTGAGCTCTATCGTTAAGAATAGCAAATTGAGTTTTACCATCTGTCAGCATTATTTGTGAGGTTATTGGATAATAATTTCCAGATATGTTTTCTACATTTTCTTTTAAATCAAAAGAACTTCTGTAATTCAAAACCCTTTTGATAAACTCTCGACCATTAGAATCAGTATAAAAAGTTTTGTCATTCTTGTATGATGGTATTTTAAAGCGTGATATTACTTCTTTTCCTATATTGTCTCTAAGTAAATTTTAGTAAAAATATGAAATTTTAATATTTTTTCTAAGTAAAAGACAAGATATATTATTTACTCGTCCGGTATTGGACCAACAAGCCATTCAAATTCTAAATGATCGTCTCCTTTATATTTTCTAATTACCTGGCTGGTCCAATTACTACAAATTATATGTATTTCTTGTACTACTGGTCCTATGAAATAATAATGGTTGATTTAATTTTATGCGCATATAAAAGTAATTATAAAATACCCGGTTAAACTAACCTTTAAATATTTTAGATTCATTATGATGATCGCAAATTGGTACTGCTGTTCCATTAGGCCTGAAAATATATGCACCAGAAGCCCTTTTATAATCTTTTTTATTATCACCATTCATGCTTTTATAATAGAAAAACTCATGTTGTAATGGTACTTCTAATCCACTTATATGCATAGTAAATTGCCTCGAGTCGATATTGTTAATTTTTAAACCAAAACGCTAAAAAATGTTTATTTTAATTATAATTGATAGTTTTCTAATTTAAAAATTCTATTTAAAAACTTTAACTTGAACATGTAAACTCACCGTATCACCGAGGTCTACCGAATCTATTTGTGGTTGTGTAGGGGTTGTATGCGTTCTTCTTTTTTTATTGCTATTGCGATCTTTGTTAATGTGATATGATTTATATCCTAATGGAGGTAAATCGTTAGCTTCAAATACAAGCTCGGATGTTGCCAATGATTCTCGACCTGGTATATTCAAAACAGATTGAGGTATGGGCACTATTTGTGTGATAATGTTTTTTCCCTGAGGGTCTAAAACAATATATTTATTATTATCCATAATAGGCAATCGTACGAACTCAGTTATCGGTCTACTCAATGGGTTGTAAAGAGTCAGTATAAACTGTTCACTTTGTTCTGAAATTGTACATGCACTAATATTCAACAAATTACAAGTTTCATATTTAGTGCTAGATGAATCATAACGTTGCCTAAAAAGAAAAAAATATTAATTTATACATAATAACTAAAAGTTTAGTATCTTACAATAACATTGATGAAACATCTTCACATTCTGTTATAGCTTCACTTAATATCCTAGCGTAATCATTGGCAACATGTTGTTTTGCGGTACCAGTTATGGCGTCATGATGCTGCATCACACCCATCGCTTCTCTTAAAGGATTAATTTTTGGTTCATACTTATGTCCTTCAAGACTAGTAACAGCCAATTGCTTACAAACCTAATTAAAATAAAATTTGCCTTTAAATGTTTTCATCATAATTTAGGAAATATTGGAAATAAAATTACTTTGAAATACATATTATTTTATGTAGACTTAAATTAATTTACTTAAAAATTATTTATCGTATTACTTTCAATCAAAACAATTAATTTAATTTATGAATGTAAAACTTATAAGTATAGCTAAAATACTAAAAACACGTATTTTACTTGTAAAATATTGTTTCCTTTACGCTCAAAATATTTTTGTGTAGGTCTTGAAGTAAAATATCCAGTCCAATATGTGTGTTTATCACTTTTGTATGGTAAAAAGTCATCGCTCTTAGTAGTAAAAGTTTCATTGCGATCATTTACTGCTTTTAAATAACACGACGGAGTAGAATAGATCGCATTGATTTTACTTCCACTCGATTGTTTAGAATTTATATAACTATAAATAAAATTACAGGAATTTATTAATTTAGATAGTCTTTCTACTATAATAATTCAAAATATCAAAATATAATTATAATTTTAAAATTATTAAAGTTAATAAGTAGTATAAAGTAATTTGAATATTTCTACCAGCTTTATTTTAGTTTTATTTTACATAAGTTTTTTTTTTTCAATGTACATTTTTTAGACAAATTTTGCCATTTGCTATTAGATTATTAAGTTATCTGTAATTTATTTGAAATGTAAACCAATGGCTATATTGTTCAGCATAGTACATATTCAGGTTATTTCAGATCAATATTTCATTAATAGGGTTCGAGCCTTTATGTATTTATAGAGTTTATATTACTCACCTAATGGACATCAATGACAAATAAAAATTCGTTTTTGTTTTTCTTATTCTTAATCAATGTATATTAAATAGGATTTTAGTTTGGGGTGGTGTGGGGTATCACTCCACTCAAAGCAGAAAGTTGATGTAGTACTGTGATACATTTTCATAGATTTGGGTGTCTCAGAAGTGGCCCACACAAATTTTAAAATTCATTAAGCCCAAAACCTTATTGATTAAAAATGATCAAACGTGTTTTTTTTTTATATGGGGTAATCAGGACTTTAAAAATCCATCATGAGTATTAAAACCAATTAAATTAATCTTTTATATTATATATTAATCATATATAAAAAAAAATCTACTGTATATTCACCTAAAATATATTTTTACTAACTTTATAATTTTGTCCATACTATGAAAATTAATTCCAGCAGCAGTATAGTGAAAGTCATCGCCCATCGTTAATATTATATTATTTGTCTTATATTGGAGTGATTGTTTGTGTATATAATCAATAAGTGTCTCTCCCTACAAAAATGAATTGATGTTATACATTGATTTGTAGAACACAATTATAAATTATTTATTAAACTTAAAAGGAAACAAAAAAACTGTTAATGTATTTAAAATATATAGTTAACAAGACAAAAGAAAATGATTTTAAATTGTTTAAATTTGAATCTTATTATACAGAATGATCGGTTTATCACGAAGCACTGGATACTCGTAAAATAAATGCAATATTGAAAAAACATTTTGCTTTTATTTAGTTACATATATTTCTTGATTTATCAGATAATAATTACTTTTTAGAATTATCCTTTGTAACTTATAGAGTGATCAACATTATTTTTTAAAATGGCAACGTATATAATTAACTAGTTTAGTTAAAAATTAACGATGTAATTAAAATAATGGCTGGTCGATAACAAATTTTGGACCAAAAGTTATTAACAATTTATAGTAATTACTGGAGGTGTAGAATAGGTTTTGCTATTTTTATCATTAGTCTCAGCCGTACACTTTCTCCTGCCAAGATATAAAAATTAGAATAACTTTCGAAATACTGGTCCAAAAGTTGTTGTCGATCAGTTAGATCATTGTCTTTTAAATAAGCTAGTTAAATTTGTATGTTGTATAAATCAAGAAATATATGTAGTTAAAAAGAAGCAAACATTTTTTTCTTTTATTTTGAGAGTAATCGAGTGGTTTATGATAAACCTGTATATAACTGAATAGTTTGATTTAAAAACAAAAATATGTTTGATTTCAACCCCTAATATAGTAATTCATAAGTAATTAAAAGTAAATAAATAATTATTTTTGTAAGTTTTATCTTTCGTAACAAACACGATAAACTAATTATGACAACAGCATACAGCATTGCAAAATATATCTAAAATTTATATAATTTTATTGTTGAACTATCCATTTACATTTCATTACGTACCTTTTGTTTTACATTGTACTCGGGACTTTCTTTATCATCTATTATAGGGTCTGATTCACACAAAACGTCGAAACAATAGCCATTTGGAGAACTGTATCGATTATAGAGAGCGTGTGTAAATAAATCAGCAGATTGACCTTTAAATATGAAATACTAAACGCTATTTTATCAAAATATAAAAGTTGTAATTTATTAAGTTTATCCTTTATGTAACATTATAAAACATGGATCTGTGATCTAGAGGGACAATATCAGCTAATGAATACTACCACCAATGAACAATTACCATTGAGTTTTTAACTATTAACATTTTTAATTTGATTTTAATAAGTTAATGTTAGTAGTTTTTATAACAATATTATCACCATTTTTTAAATATCATTAGCTGGTCATTTACTGGAAAATTTTAATTTTCAATATAAAAATATAAATTCGAATTGTAGTGTTAGTAAATTATAAATATTTTTACATTATTACTATAGAAAAATGTAAGTTTAAATGCGTATTTTTATAACTTGTTTAGTAATTGTTTCTCTTAAAGGAAAATTATAGATGCCAACAACTCTTGACAGTTAAAGATATCACGCAAAGTAATTAAACTTTGAAATTAGAATTGTCAAAAACTTTTTTTTATAACGAAACATTGAAAAATTATTGATACCAGTCTCATAGAGATGCATAAAACATAATATTAACCAGAATTCACTACATATATTATATAAAAATACTTCAACAAAAATCTTGAAATTACTGTAATTGTAAACATCTCAAGTATTATAAAATAATATATTGAAAGAACATTCATTTTGACATATGTTTAATATATCGGATAATAATTTTTATAACATCAAGAGACTGATTATAAAATAATGTTCACATACATTATTTCATTTAATATATAAATAACTTGAATTTTATTAACGTGATTTTTGGCTCAATAAACATTATGCAATTTTAAGCTAGCAGTGCAATTTTTCAATCCTTATATAATGTAATTTACAAGTTTAAAAACATTTTATAGTATATTTGCTTACATAAATAGATTTTTTTCTTACTCTTCAAAAACGTTTATAATTTAAAATTTTTTATTTATTGTATGTAAGTTTATATTTAAATGTAATAAAAATAATCTTTTTGTACTCTGTTAGTTCATAACCTCAAGTCAGGAACTATATTGTTTTATATGACAACAAATAAATATGAAAAAAAAAATATTAACACTGTTAAAAAACAAAAGGAGATAGGAATTTTTCTTTAATTTGAATTTTACTTATTAAAAATATTATGAAAGGTATTATCAGATTTTTTTTAAAGTCGTTTTAAAAGAAATGTCTATAAAAAAATCAGTTTTTCATACAAATCAATAAAAAGTATATTTAATACAACATCAACAATAATTCTATATTACTATTTACTTTAAAAATATTGCTCTTGTATTAAATTTTTATAAACTTATAAATGTTCAATTACTATGTTATTTAAAAGCAACATTTTTTTATTTATAATTAATACATTTTCTAATAGTAAATTTAAATTTAATATCTTACCTAAATTAGGGCTTGATTTCCATATCATTTCTGCAGTTTTATTTTTTAATCTTTGTGACTTTTCTTCAACATCTAATCTCCCAAAAAATAGACCATCAAAACCTAGTTGTGTGAATAAAGAAGCCATTTGTTTTGTATGGCCAAATGGATCAATTTGCCAACCAATGTGTGGTCGGCCACATGCTCCAAACGTATCATTAAGTTTTCTGTATTAAAATAATAGTTATTATTTATAGTTTAAGGTCACCCACCCGGTAACGAACGGCAAATAGCGTAGATGAACATCAGCGCTGGGAGAGCGTCTAAATGATCCACTGCACCATACCAAGCCCTTATATTTTTTAAATTATTACGTTAACTTATTAGTCACCAAGGTTAGAAAAGAAACTAATTGCATATTTTCAATGTATTTTATTACTTTAGTATATACTCGTATAACAATTTATTATAGTAAAAAAAAATCCCAGCACAGGGGGGTCGCGGCACAGTGGTGACGTGGCATAATTGGATCAAGTATAATGATATCTGACAGTGATTAAAATCACTATCATAAAAAACGCTTCGATGCAAATCTTTAGATAGTGTTTAATTTTAAAAAAATTGGTGGATTATTCCAAAAGCTACATGATCTGCTAGTTCCTTATTAATATCCTGATTAAGATAAAGTATGTCGAATGAAAGATGTATATAAATACTACTTCTCATGAAAAAATTGTATTGATCCATACACTTTTCAAAAAGTTATAGCATAATAAAGTTGAAAATGGAAAATACAAAATCGAAAATTTTCACACAATAATAGCATTTGGTAGCCATTTTCACCTTGAAGATAAAATAAAGTCCAAAATTTTTTTTTTTCATGATAAAGCATATTACATTAGCTTTAATTTAAGATATATATAAAAGTGTCAGACTTTCCGGAACATTTTCAAAATTTAAGTTAAAAAAATTAATTTTTTGTGAAAAAGTTGTCATTTTAAATCCCCCCTTGTGGGCAGGTTAAGGGTTAAATTTATGAAAAAAATATACCAAATGAAAGGTAATGATATTATGCATCTATATAAAAAAGAATTATATTGATA